TTATCTTCATAGTTTTAGTGATATACCTATTCATTTCCTGGTTTTTCAGTCTTGGTATCTGTTGACTTCCTAGTCTAAAAAAGGAGCATTTAGCTCTTTTAATTCTCTCTCTCCTTTTATTCAGTCTTCCTTTAATTAAAGTAATATGTAATTTTTGTATCATTATGGTTATGCAAATATTTCTCACTGCTGAGTCACCTGCAGTGTGAGTAGTACATTTTGGCACATTTGGTTTTTCTTCTGGAATTAATAAGAGTCTGTGTGTGTGTGTGTGTGCTTCCATACCTATGAGTCTACGATCTCCAAATATCTAATTGAACTAAAATTATATTGGTATTTTCATACTCAACAGGAATCCCCACCCTCGTTCTTAGCTGAGTCTAGTCTCTTGAGTCCAACCTCTTCCAGCTCTGGTTTTCAGCGTACACTGGGTGTGTGTGTGTGGAATCTTTCATAATGTCACAGTAATGGGAGATCTCCATCTTTGAAAGTAACAGTTTGGGCTCGAAACAAACAAACGAACGAACAAACAAACAAGCCCTGCAATATAGTCTTACAGCGGTGCTGATAAAACCAGTTAGGACACTCGGGAAAACTAGAGTCTCTTAGTTCTTCCACGTTGTACACTCCTCAGGGAAGAGCTCTCTAGTGGTGCACACATGGAACAGGGTCCTACCCTCCAGCATCTCGGTGAAAACCACAAGGCTGCCATGGGTGAGTTGCCAATGGCGGCCACCCGTGTGCTACAGGGTAAACCTCAGCTCCAGAGGTTTCGAGATAAACGGTGTGTAATCCTGATGGAAGCACATCACCAGCTCTTTCCCCCCGGCATCATGGAGTGAGCCTGTGCCTTCTACAACTCTGTTGCTGTACTTGTTGGTACCCTTTGAAAGGTGCATCTATTTAAACGGACACGAGAGTTCTACTCCGTTGCCCTTCGCTGAAAATAAGGCTGAGGAACAAGCAGCCCGAGCTTCTTCCTGCCCCTGGAGTTTGCCCAGGGATAGGTGCGGCAGGGAGGACCAGCTGGTGTCCTGACTCCTCCTCCTCTCTGGTTCCCTGGGCAGATGGAGGGTGCAGTGCGGGCCCGGGCTCTGGAGTCTGATTGCGTGGGGTTCCCGTTTCCACCAGCTGCTCGGCCTCTGGGGCCTCCATCTGTCCACCTGCAAAATGGGAGAGCTAATCCTTCTTGATGAGAAGGACCCGAGAGAACCCACGTTCGCATGCCCGTGAAGCAGGGTCCCCGGGGGACAGGCTCGGGATGCGTCTCACGATCACTCTTCCTGATCAACGTGGCCTGTCTCTCCTCCTGCCCAGGGGTCCACTACGAGGTTGAAGTCTGGACAGGGGACGTGGGCGGCGCAGGCACCACCTCCCGAGTCTTCATTCAGATCTACGGCGAGGAAGGCAAGACGGAAGTGCTCTTTCTTTCCAGCCGCTCCAAAATTTTCGAGCGGGCATCCAAGGACATATTCCAGGTGTGTGGGGCTACAGCAGGAGGGATGCCCAGGGACGCGAAGACCATCTCCTGGTGGTGCTGTCTTCTTAGAGCTAGAGGTTGGAAACACTTGAGCACAAGTTAGACAAGGCTTCCCTTGGCATCCTGGAGGGGTTTCCTGGGAGCAGCGTCAAGCAGGGGCTAGAGCTCTAACATGGGCCCGAGAGGACTGGGATTCCCAGCCAAGCTCTCCCTCCCCAGCCTGAGCAGCACCCGCTCTCTCCAGGTCGGAGTGTCTGG